CTGCTAGTAAATAGCAAAGCAAGAATTCAATTTCAGTTCTCCCTGACTCCTAAATTTAGTCCTCTTAGACTTTCCAAAAGGCAAGGTGTTCCTGAGATGAAAGGGAGGTTGGGCTGTTTTGTTTCTTCTCAGAATCTGTAAGGGATTAAAACATGTTTGTGTTTGTTTATTGATTTAGGTGAAGACATAGGACTTCTAGATCCGAATGGAGAATAAGGAGTCTTCCCTGGCAGTTCCACTGCAGGGGGCACAAGTTCAATCTCTGGTCAGGGAACTGAGATCTCACATCACACACACACACATACACATACAAACCACACATCAACAACAGCCAAAAACTAGAGGGGGCTCGTCTGTGCAGACAGAAGCTGTGCCTCTCCTTCTCTTTGGGATGGTAGCTAGCACATGACAGGAGCAGCACACGGTTCTTGGGCAGACGGCGTGGCTGCTGAGGCCAGCGAGGGGTCTGCTTCTCCTTGGACTTGCCGCAGAACTTGGCTTCGGCCCTCTCTCATCGCCCTGCTCAGCACCCCACACCTCCTAGGTCCTCCCAGCCGGTGACCTCTGTCACCCATCTCGCCACTTCACTCTCACCTCCCAAAACCCAGCTCAGCATCAATGTATTTGGAAAAGATCTACCAAATAAGCTAACATCAGCCTCAACTAAGGGCTTCCCCAGTGGCTAAGCGATAAAGAACTGGCCTGCGATGTAGGAGCTTCAGGAGACACAGGTTCAATGCCGGGGTTGGGAAGATCCCCTGGGGGAGGAAATGGCAACCCACTCCAGTATTCATGCCTGGAGAATACGAAGGACAGAGGATCCTGGCAGACTACAGTTCATGGGGTTACAGAGTCAGACACGATTAAAACAACTTAGCATGCACAGCCACAGCTAGGCAATGGAAGGTAGGGGGTGTGGATCCATGAGAGCAGTCCTTCCCATGATCTCGTGTCTACTTTCTACCAGATGCCACCCTGACCCCTCCATTTCTTTATCTGAAAACTGTGTTATGAGCCCTGTTTTCAAGGAGAAACTGAAAGTACTTTGAGATCACAGAGCTGGCAAGCCACAGAGTCAGGATTTAAACCCAAGTCGGTCCGAAGCCAAGACCCAACCATTAGTTGCACTTTTCTAGGGACCAGTGACTTTGACCCCAAAAGGTTTAGGGCTGCAGGGACAAAGCAGTGAGGCCAAGGTGGGGCAGAGGCGTAGAAGTAATCAAGGCGGACACGCCAATTTGCTGAACAGCACCCATCCACCACTGCTTCCGTATTAAAGCACAAAGAAGCGTTTACCTAATCAGGTCTGTGACCTTCACATACAGAAAACCTGCAGGAGGAGAGGGTGGGCCAAATGGAGGGTAGCACTGAAACACACACAGTATCGTATGTAAAATAGATAGCTAATGGGAAGTTGCTGAAGAGCAGAGGGAGCCCCGCCCAGTGCTCTGTGATGACCTAGAGGGGTGGGACGGTGGGTAAACGGAGGCTCAGGAAGTAGGGGATAGATGCTTACTCATGTCTCATTCATGTTTTTGTACAACAGAAACCAACACAGTAGGATAAAGTAATTATCCTCCAATTTTGAAAAAGAAAACCTATGGGAGATACCCAACCCAAATTCTCCCCACCCCCTCATTTCCAATAGAATCAGGGTTACAAATGAAGCTGCACTAATGAATCCATTCGCTGCTAAAGGCCTCCGTCTTACATTCCGCCAGCCTGCAGTGTGGTGCACGCACGTGAGCTCCTCTCGGCTTTGAACAAAGCCCAGGAGGTTTCCTGTGGCCCCTCACTGCACTGGCATTAGTTCCAACTGCCAAATCTCAAATGTGTCCAGGATAGATAGAAGAAAGCAAGGCTAGTTTAATCTCTGTCCTAGTGGGTTTGGTGAACTCCTTGGCCAGAGCAGCTTGGCCCTTTCTCATACACTGTTGGGCCATAGACACTTCAACAGTAAATTGCCATGTTGTCTGATGCTTAGAGCAGGGCTTATCACACCCACTAAAGAATAAAACTTCCTGCAGCAGCATAGAGAATGAGGCCAAAATAGGGAAACGTTAGAGTCTAGGAGTATTTGGTGCCCTCTTACTCTCTCAGGAGATGGCATGCTGGCATGCAGAAAGCTGCATGTTGATGGTCTTGTACCTATTGGAAAAGACCGTCTGGCTATCCACCACCCCACAGCCATCCCTTCTAGGACCAGATACAGAGTGTCTAGCCATTCTGTAACTCTAGACGCTAAGGGAGAAGAGCTCAGAGGTCACCCATCCCAGTCTCCTTTCACTCTGCTGGTGGCAGGACCATGGCCACAGAGGACCTGTCCCTCAGTGAGGAACCTCTCTCACAGGCTATCTGTTTGCTAAAACCGCTCACCTGATTATGCAAGTATTTCTATGCTTTAATACAGAAGAAGTGGTGGGTTGCAGCTGTTTAGTGAATTGGTGTGGTCCCATGATTACTTCCGGAGGAAGGCATGGCAACCCACCCCAGTATTCTTGCCTGGAGAATCCATGGACAGGCAGAGCCTGGCAGTCTACAGCTCATAGTTTCAAAGAGTGGGACACAGCTGAAGTGACTTAGCACACATGCGCGCATCCGTTTCTGGAGAAACTGAGTCAATTCAGAGGCCATTGTGGCGTGATGCCGCAGTCTCTGAAAAACATGCACAGAAGACCACTTTCCACAGAGAAGAGATGGAGTTGTGGTCATCAAGGGCACCAGCCCTGTAGACAGAGTGACTCAGTTCCAGTCCAGCTCTGGGTGTATTATCTTGTGTGGCCATAGGCAGGGCGCTTAACTTTACAGCTCATCGGTTCCGCAACCATAACGTGGGCATGCCAAAGGGTTTCCTGAAGATAAAAAAGGGTTAATGGAGGTTCTGCATTTAGAGTCACAACTTGGTACACAGAGACCACCATATGTTATTAATATGCTTTGTGGCCACAGCCCCAGGCGGGCTGAGCAGGCGCGACGCCTGCTGGGGTCCTGCTCCTTGGAGAACTCAGCTGGCGTGGACAGTGGCTGCACCCTGCCTGCCTGACCCGCATGAAGGCCTTACTGCCATTGCCACCTGCTCTCCTGACGACTCCTTCTCATTTACCCACAGTTTAATGCACTGGCTTCATTACTACATCTCCTCTCCTGTTTATTTTATCTACATCCAAACTTACGCTGGTAATGTAACATTCCCCAAAGATGCTAAGCCCACTGGTAGAACTTGGAATAAAGTGATTCCTATAGTAAAGACCCCTGTCTGTCTAGCATGGAGCCCACTCAACTGTTTCTTAAGTTGACAGCAGTGTAATAAATTAGCGAAACACACGCACACATATATATATATATAAAACTAGTTAATACACATCATATATAGACTTTATATTTTAAATATTCTTTAAAGAATCATATGGTTCTGCATCATCCATTTCCTTTTAAACTCACTTGAAAATCTCAATCACTCATCTTTTGCAGAAGACAATATAGAGAATTACCTTGGGCTTCAAACTGGGCCTTTCCAACTTAGTGCATTCTCTAGGCTGGTATGATTCCTTAGGATATATGCCTCGGCCGATGGGGACCCCTGAGTCAGGCCACTTTCTATAAATGTTGATGAAGCTGTTATGGGGACCACAGCAATGGGCTAAGGCCTGACTCTGCCCGTTTCTGTGAATACTCTATAACCAAAGTACAGAAAACTATGAGCAGGACTCTCAAGCTCTCAAGTAAATATGAATTCTTAGTAGATAAGAGAATCGTGTTATGCACTGGAGAAATAGAAGGCATCCTGCTGAGAACCCTGGGGTAGGAACAGGTGGATGCTGCTCGCTGAAGCGAGAGACCCATATGTCCCCGGGCTAAAGGTCAGCATCAACGAGGCCTGGATCCAAGCCATAATACTGACCAGGAAGCTGCGGGGCCTGGGTGCTGTCAGAGGAAACCCGGCTCCACCGGCCCTTTCGCCAGGAGTGCAGCTCTTTGCCAAGGAGCCACGTTACCACTAAAGCTGGCCGTGATGCCCTGCCTGTCTTCCCTGCTCCTGCCCTTTGTCACTGACCCTATAGGGTTGCCTTTTGAGGACTTATACTCCTTTGACTAAGACATAACTTCGCTTACCCTGGAATCCTCTCTGTTCCCTGGTCACGGCTCTTGCTGATGACCCTAGATTCTTATGCTGCCCAGCAAAGGTGATGGAGGTGTGGGGTCAGGGCTGGACACTTATCCTTCCGCCCTGGGTCCTCAGGACGGGCGAGGACAACCCCCGTGCACACGGTCTGTCTTCTGGAGGAGGATGTAGATAATCATGCTCTCATCTTGTGTGGAATGTGAGGGATTCGGGAGGACTGTGTCAAAGTGCCAGAGACAGAGGGAAGAGGATAGAAGGATGGTCGAGGGAAAGCCCGCCAGGCAAAGGACAGTGGCCGCTAGGTCTGAGAAGGCGGGGTCTTCTTGGTCCCCTCTGGTCATCTGGGGTCGACTGCTGGCTTGAACCCCACCATAGTGTCTAAAATGATGCAGTGTAGTCATTCATCTTCCCCAGCTGCTCCACAGCATCCCAATCGTGCCAGACAAAGAGTCGGCCACGGCAACACCCAGACGCCTGGGTCTCACGAAAGCCTCCCTCCCCCTCCCGCCTCTTCCCGCCTCTCCCCTCCATCCTGACTCTCCTCTCCCCCTTCCCCTGCTTCCCCTCCCACCCCTGTCTGTCCTGCACACCACCTCCAAGGCCCTGCTCTGGCCTGTCAGCCCACAGGTCTAGCCCTGCCTTCCCTCTCTCTCTGTGGGTGTTTTAACCCCGGTCTCTGAGAGCAGGCTGCAGGGTCCAGGCGTCCCAGGGAGGAGCCCCTTTGAGTCTCTCCGTTTATGGGGACGTGGAAGGGTCAGGGGCTGGGTGGAGGCTGTTCAGAGAGAAGCATGTCTGTGCAGTGCTTGGAGGGGCTGAGGAAGCTGCCCTCTGGGTGTGTGCTAACGCTAACAAGCCTGTCTCTCTTTCCCCTACACAGGGCCTGGAGCCGTCATTGATGGTGTAAACTCGGCCTCTAGAGCGCTCGCTTGCCTCTGGCTATCAGGGACCCTCTTTGCCCACTTCTTCATCAAGTTTTGATAAGAAAGCATAGGTCTTCTGAGCAACGCCTGCCTCTCCATATCACAGACTTTACCTGCACTGCGGAGGGCCAAACAGTTTGGGTTTCTTTTTGTTTCTGTTCCTTTTCTCAGTTTTGGGGTTTTTTTTTTTTTTTTTGGACTCTTTTCTTTGTTGGTTTGATTTTTCTTTCTAGTTTGAACGAGTGGGGTTTGGGGGAGGGGTGGGCAGGGTTCTACCACATGTAGGATAATCACTCATAGGTGGTGTGTCCAAAAATGGAACCCATTCTCCACCCTTCCCCTCCCCTCCCTCTGCTCCCCCTGGCATCGTCACCACCAACCAACCACCCTCACACCAAACCGTAAGTTCCATTTGGGCGAAAAAACGTGCCTCGTGGTAAACACCCTGAAGACACAACTTGACTTATAATGTAGTGCGCAGCAAGAATTATATCCAAGTGTCCTATTACTTGTGTCTTTAAAGCTGTGGACCATTTTCCTGACTATAATGTACAGATCCCTCTCTCCATGTTTATAATGATCTAATTACATGAGGGTTCACATCCTTTCTTTCTGGGAAGTTCTCTTTCTCTCCCTCTCTCTCTGTCTCTCTGTCTCTGTATCTGTCTCTGTCTCTGTCTCTCTCTCTCTCTCTATATATATATATATGAAACATTGCCATCTTTTCTAGCCATTCTGCCCTATTTGCTTTCTCTACCAGCTATAAGGATTCGAAGTTTGGGAGTAGGCATACAACCCAAACCTGAACGTTGAGAAGTCATGTAACTGAAAATGGGGGGAAGAATCTTGAGGAGAGTATTTCTCTCTGAAAAATACTATCCAGTTCTTAAAAAATGATCCAGAGGTGGCTGATTATTTAGGTTTTATCAAGCTCACTATCAAAATAATACATTGTTTCCCATCTACTCAACCATCTGATTGATCACTCCATCCAATTATCTCCCCACCCATTTTCCTCTCTGGCAATCCACTTCCTTTATATATCAATCTATCAGTGTAATTATCCAACACATCTTTCTATTTCATTCCCCACTATTCACTCTCAATCCATCACTGTATTCATCTCTAGTCATAGTGTGTCTGTTCCACTGGATTCATGTCTCCTCTACCTTCTGCAGACATTGGCATCTTCAGAATTAACCATCAGCTTCTCATGTGAAAGCCAATGATCTCATGGGCTGACAACATAGAAAAGCCGTATGTCACGGGCTGTCTGGAATGTGCCCGTCCATCTACCCCAAGTAGGTGCTGGTAACAGATGGACCGAAGTAGCGAGTGAAAGATCAGTCAGTCACTCTTCCCAGAAGAGATCGTGTTTCCAGAAACAGCTTCTTGGGAAGCAGATCGGCCTTGGCAAAACCTTGATGAGCATCCTGTTTTATCTTTCTCACTTGAAGGACCAAGGTGCCAATCTTCATGCTTCTCTCAGCCTTTCAAGAAAGTGCATGTCAGGAATCTATGAGACTGTCCTTAACAGAAAGAGACAGAAAAACACACTTCTGTCTCTTCAACGTGAAGACAGCCGTCCATCTGAGTGGGGTGACTTCTGCTGTCGTCCCCTTTCTGCTCCAGTTTTGGTTTCATGTGTTTGAAAACTATCCAGTAAAGAGCCGATGGAAGCCAATTACACGGCGGGTGTGTTGACAACTCTGGTATTTGTTTCTGGAAGCTCTTCTGAGCTGAGGGCACTTGAGCAAACTGACTTAATTTCCAAGCTCTTGATTAACACAACACTGCAAACAGACGGGGAGAGTAACATGCATCTTCCTTGGATACAGGCTGCTTCTCCAGGAACTTTGGGGGATAATGCCCTCAGCTCTCCATGTTCAGATCTTTCCAGAACACAAAGACAAGCTGACCCTATCCTTCTGCTTTATCTCCCGGGACAAGAAGGAATCAGCCAGCGAGAGTGACTGGGATGCAGAAGAATGGCATCAGAAGCCTGCAGGGCTGTGCCCTTGACCTGCGCTGCAGGGGATGACCTGCTGAGAAAGAGGAGAGCCAGCAATGACTGGATCAAAGACTCAGGCCCAACGGAATACTCTTTAGCGCCACGATCTAAAGCATGAGAAATATTAGCTCCAGAGTTCCCTTCCTGCCATGCTTCATTGGTCTTCTTCCCCTGAAACGTGGCCTCTTTGTTTCTCTCTGTTATGACACATGAACGTGATGTACGGTGGAGAAACACACTCACGTGTGCACGGGCATGCGTGGGTTGACTTGGCATATGAAAAGCTTGGCACTTCCGTAGAGTTAGAGCTGGTGTGAGTGAAATTAATATTATACTTGCCAGCTGTAAACAGACATCTGCATTTCCCAGGGAGCTGCCAGGAGCCAGATTTGCAGAACGTGAACGATGTGCCAAAAGCAGTGTATGGATTCCAAGTTCCAGGGATGATCGTGAGCAGGCATGGAGTCAGAATTAAAGGTCGGACATCAGTGTTTCAGACCTGTCACCGCGGCCAGGGTGGTGTCAGACACTGAATGAGCGTGTAACGTGTCACATCGAGTGTTCTGCTGATAACACACTTGCTCCTTAGGAGTAGAAGTGTGGACGCTGTGGGGACCAGATGGTCTTGGAGAACAGGGTGCTTGAAATGGACGAGCTGGGCATGTTCTTTCCTCTGAGACTTGATCAAAATGAAGGCATCCATCCTTCTTCAGCCAGGAGAATCCCTGAACCTTCCAGACACAAAGAGCCTGGGTTCAGAGCCACTAGAGAACTCTGTGCTGCTTCTTACAGCACATACCAGGAAGCATGTCTGAGAGTTACAGACTCCAGCCCTGTTTCAGAGGGGAAGGGTCCTAGCGTCACTCCTCACCTGTCTGGGATAAAGACAATGAAATAAGCAAGACCCAAGGAAACGGGGCAGTGGAACAGAAAACCCTTCTGCCCAGCAGACACAGTCCAGATTCTGTGTTGTCTGGGTTCCTTTGGTGGGGATGGCTCCACAGGATGGGAGCTGTTACCCAACACCTTGGAGCATATGGAGTAGCAAATGCCTAAAGACAACGTCCAAGTCTCTTTACATATGGAGGGCAGATGGATCAGGCCTGCTGGAGAGAGATTTTTTTTCAAGGTGCCAATGGTGGGGTGGGGCTTGGGGTAGAGGAGGAAAAAATTAACTCTTGAGTCTCTGAGAACCTGCGGCTTTTCACGGGTTCTGCACGTGAGATGGAACCCAGTAAGGCTTATCAAGAAATCAGGTGAGAGGAACTCGGCAATGTATAATAGGCACTCTGAAACCCTGCCTCTCCCCAAAATACGTATTTCCACCAAAGTGAAGCCAGTGCAACTGCTAGTGTTGAGGTCCTGGCCAAGCTGTTTTTTCAGTAGTTTCATGTCAAGTGCCTGATACAGTCTTCTGCAAGTTGAAGCAAGTGTGTTTAGTTTTTTTGTTTATTTGTTTTATCTGTGGGAAAGAGGCCATCCAGGCAAGTGGTGGTTGAAACATGCTCCTGTTTTATGCAGAGAAATTATGCTTAGTTGTGTTCAACTGTACAGAAGGAAAGGTGAGGTTTTGTATCAGAAAGAGGACTGGACCTCTTTCCTCTGAAACCCATGCCTCAAGGTAGACAATGCATTTCATAGGTTGGACTGCTCGTTCTCAAAACCTGGGTGGGAGGTATACTGTAGGACTTGGGGAAAGTCCAGAGCAAGTTTGAGTTCAAGGATCTGTTCCTGAACCAACCCAGCAACTTGCTCTCCACGTGGAGGGGTCACTGAGCTCCAATTCTCCTGGGAAAATGCTCGGGAGAAGAGTAGAGAACCTTGAGGTGGGCAGTCCGTCTCCAGGCAAGCTCATCAACTGCGTAGCCTCAGGAGTGGCTGGAGATTGCTATTTACCTCCAGTTCCAAGGGAGGGTTTCTCCTCCCCGGTTGAGTATGGATGTCATCATGAGGATGGAGGAGTGGGGTGAGGGATGGGGCCATATCACCTTTCCCAATTTGACCCTGAGTCCTCACCAGAGAAAATCTGGCTTTGCAATACCTGGAACCAGCCCTCCTTCCCCCTACCAAAAAACCCCAAGCAATTAAAAAAAATTTTATAATCTCTTTGGAATTAGAGGAAGTAGGGGAAGTGGGGTAGAATGTTTCCCATTGGCAATATTCATTTTTTTTGTTTTTCTCCAAAAATGAGGATCATTCACATTCATTTTGTATGAGCCCTATTCCTAGAAACTTACACCCAATTGCCTCACCTCCTACTTGCCCACGCTTCTCTGTCTTTTTATTTTAAGACGAGTAAGTTGGAGCAATTTCAGGAAAACTTCACAGGTGTGTAGCTAGGAAGGCAACGTTCTCAGAAAGATACCATGTGATGAGAACTCCTAATGATCACTAACAGCCAACAAATAAAAATGCTGGTCTCATTTCCCTCATTTCTTGAGAGAAGAGAAGTAAATGAAAGAAGGAAGAGATAGATATGCAATTAAAAGATGCGGCGAGAAGATAGAGCTGAACCAAGCAATTTAGCCTTCAGGTGCAGAACACCAGCGGTCCACAAGGCTGTGGAGTGAACTCAATTAGACACAATTGTCTTCAGCCTGCAAGTAGCCAGTGAAGCCTAATTTCCCGTGTTTTAAAAGACATTCCATTTTGTTTCTTTCCACGGTGTCCTTTTAAAGCACAGGGTTGTTTTTGTTGTTCCATGATGCTGAGTGTGGAAAGAAAGATGATGAACCCTCTGCTCTTTTTTGGGGGGGCCACATTCTACGCTATTGGCCAATTTAAAATGATATCAATCATAGCAATGATAAGTAATCCTAGCTGCCTTTGTGTTAGTTAAAGGGAGCATTTTTAATCATTCAGAACCTTTTGTGACATGTAAAGTGCAATTGTGAGGAACGTGTGGGTGTATGAAAATGTATCTGTCAAGTTCAGAGTCCTCTAGATTAAAAAAATTTATGACTTATCCATGGTGCCGTCCTAGCCGTGTCAGACAATGGGTGTGCCCGTTCTCACAATTATCCTGCAAACAGATCTGTGTTCAAACGCTTTAAAATTTTATCACATGATACAAGAGTATAACTTTGTCAGCCTTCTAGAGGTTTTTTCCTCCCCTTCTATTTTCTTTCTGAATTTTTTCCTTTGAAAATCAATGAAGACTTTATTTCTGTCAATAATTGTATTAAGGGTGAAAATACTACCTGAATTTTGTGCATGTTACATTGTAGTTGTAACCTTTTCTAATTCAGGATGAACACTGAGATGGTTGTGATTGTGCAGTGTATCAATAAAGTTCAAAGTAATTTGTAACTTTTGGGGGGCTGTTTATTAGGACACCGCATTGAGTATCCAGGGATGGGGAAAGCTAACCAGGGTATGCTTCTCCCGTGTGTGTGTGTGTGTGTGTGTGTGTGTGTGTGTGTGTGGCTTTGGGAAGGAGATGCGATCAGAAAACTGGGTACCATCTCTCTCTCTCTCTCTGTCCCTCTCTTTCATGCATGTATACACCCACAGGCACACAGAATACTATAATAAGCAATTTCATGTTACAATTGCATATCTTACATCTATGCCATTTACAAATCATACAAAATGCAAATAATGTAAAATGCAGCTGCAGCCTCAAAGTCTAATTTATTGGCTTAGGCTACAATACATATACATACATATATATATGTGTATATATATATATATATATATATATATATACTCTGTTTTGGATTTCCTTCAAAACACACTTATTCTTAAAAGTACATTGGAGGTACTGCTGGTTTACTGTAGCATCCACAGGGTAATGGATGAGGAAGAGACCTGGAGAGCAAGTTCATTCTTCCAACTGTCTTTCCTAAAACATCTTTCTCTTTCAGTAAATCTCCCACCATCTTGTCACATATCCATCTGCTCTTCCAAAGGAATGGGTATTAACCTCTTTCTTGCAACTTAGCTTCCCACCTGCCATTTCTGTATCAACGAACCCTTCCAAGCTCTGCTGTTGACCAAACGTGTGATCTTGGACTTGATGTTTTGCCTTACACATCTTTATTTCCCAGCTGCACCATCAGTAAATTTACCCACCCTCCCCAGTGTGTTCTATCAAAGTTGCCTGCAAAATTTTGTGTGTCTCTTTCAACCATTGGATTCCTCAAGACTGACCCCCAATGAAGCTCAGGCCAGTGGCCGATAAGGATGTGGTCATGCCACGGGAAGTGGCGGAAGATTCTTCTTTTGATTTTATAGACTCTGTCAAACCTGGTCAAGTCTGGATGCTGGAATGATGAGGCTTGTTCCTCACGGCTTCCTGGACAGACAAGGGCTAATCCCTGGCTTTCAAGACTCTGTTCCCCACAGGGGATGGAACACAGATAACTTGATGGACTAGATCATGTTCTTTGTAAATTAAACCACCAAGAACATGGTGGGCACCAAGTGATGGAGAGTTTCCAATTTTCTCAGACTCATTGTAAAATCCTGACTTGTCGAGGAAAGATTTCCAGTTCTGACGTCTTAATGCCTTGAGTGCTCCCACCCACCCTCTCCTTTTACTTCTTCCTTTTAATCACCCTCTTTCCACCCATGCCTGACCCCCTCCTGCTCCTGCTCATCCCACAACATTTACCCATCCATTTGCTTGCCTGCTGGCACAGACATTTATCGGTCTTTCACTTCATCTGGCCACTCAGCGCCATCAATCATTGACGTACCAATTTATTTCTCCATCAGCTAACCACTCACCTATTCATTCACACATTACTTCTCCATTTATCTCACCCTTATTCCCTCTATTCAGTCATGCACCTCCCTAATATGACTGTCTCCCATCTATTTATTTAAACCGTCCAGCCATTCTTCGCCTGTCAATCTGGCCGGTAAGCATCCTCCAACTAGCCTTTGGCAGATATACCTATTTACCAACCCACTTCCAGGTAACGGCAATCTCTTCTGTTATCTTTCCTTCTGAGCAGGATGCTTTATCTGCTTCTTCTTAAACATAGCAGCTAAACAATAGGATTCATTGTTATTATCTTCTCCCACAATGCACCCTATTAAAAGCATAAACAAATAAAGAAATGCTTTAGGACAGCAGTCTCCAAACTTTTTGGCACCAGGGGCCCATTTCATAGAAGAAAATTTTTCCAGGGGTCAGGGTTTGGGTGGGGGGCAGTTGGTGAGGGTTTCGGTATGATTCAATTGTATTAGATTTATTGTGCACTTTATTTCTTGAATTACCACATCAGCTCCACCTCAGAGCATCAGACATTAGACCCCAGAGGGCAAGGACCCTTGCTTTAGGATATTTGTTATGGGCATTATATTTCCTTCCATCTGGATGTATGACAGTCAACAGAGGGTGGAGAACCAGGGCTTCAATGGAAACACCCAGAGGAACAGATGTCTATATTTAACTTTCTGACACTATGAGGGCAATCAAGCCATGAAGATAAGAAATGACAAAGGAAATAGGAGTGACCTCAACCGACAACTGTTCCTTCTCTTTGGTTTGCTTTTCTGTTGAATGAGTCACCTACTTTGGTGAAGACCAGGGTGCAGGACTGATTGGCATCAAATCCTATCATCAGTTTTGAAAGCCAGCACCCTCAAGCTACAAATGATGCTCCCTTCCTTTAACATGTTCCCCTGTCCATTAGGAAACCTTTTTTTCCCCCCCTTAAGTGATTCCCCCCCCCCATGTATTCATTTATTCATTCATGCCTCAATTTGGAGATGAATTCCCTTAAGGAGTTCACATCTAAGATGTGAAAATGGCTGCATACAGAGAAGAAATGCGTGGTCAAATTACAATACTTAGGTTGGAGCTATAAGAACGTGGCCACAGATGGAGTGAATATTGGGAGATAATTAGGAGGCTTCTTCCCCTGCCCTCACCCCAGGGATGCATACAGCAGATTGAGGCAGAGGATGTTGTGAACAGATATATCATGACACAAATGGGCCACCAGGACCATGGCATAGTCAGTGTTCAAGTATTGACTGGCAGAATGAATAAATACTAACCAACAAATGAAGTTTGGGTGGGGGGCAGTTGGTGAGGGTTTCGGTATGATTCAATTGTATTAGATTTATTGTGCACTTTATTTCTTGAATTACCACATCAGCTCCACCTCAGAGCATCAGACATTAGACCCCAGAGGGCAAGGACCCTTGCTTTAGGATATTTGTTACGGGCATCGTATTTCCTTCCATCTGGATGTATGACAGTCAACAGAGGGTGGAGAACCAGGGCTTCAATGGAAACACCCAGAGGAACAGATGTCTATATTTAACTTTCTGACACTATGAGGGCAATCAAGCCATGAAGATAAGAAATGACAAAGGAAATAGGAGTGACCTCAACCGACAACTGTTCCTTCTCTTTGGTTTGCTTTTCTGTTGAATGAGTCACCTACTTTGGTGAAGACCAGGGTGCAGGACTGATTGGCATCAAATCCTATCATCAGTTTTGAAAGCCAGCACCCTCAAGCTACAAATGATGCTCCCTTCCTTTAACATGTTCCCCTGTCCATTAGGAAACCTTTTTTTCCCCCCCTTAAGTGATTCCCCCCCCCCATGTATTCATTTATTCATTCATGCCTCAATTTGGAGATGAATTCCCTTAAGGAGTTCACATCTAAGATGTGAAAATGGCTGCATACAGAGAAGAAATGCGTGGTCAAATTACAATACTTAGGTTGGAGCTATAAGAACGTGGCCACAGATGGAGTGAATATTGGGAGATAATTAGGAGGCTTCTTCCCCTGCCCTCACCCCAGGGATGCATACAGCAGATTGAGGCAGAGGATGTTGTGAACAGATATATCATGACACAAATGGGCCACCAGGACCATGGCATAGTCAGTGTTCAAGTATTGACTGGCAGAATGAATAAATACTAACCAACAAATGAGACCATGAAAGGCAGTAAAACTGTCAATGTCCAAAGAACGACAGTAGGTACTTTGGGATAAAGCTGACTCAGATCTCCTGGAGAAGGACACATACCATCTCAGTTCAGTTTATTTCAGTTCAGTCTCTGAGTCATGTTCGACTCTTTGCGACCCCATGGACTGCAGCACACCAGGCTTCCCCATGCATCACCAACTCCTGGAGTTTACTCAAACTCATGTTCATTGAATTGGTGATGCCATCCAACTATCTCATCCTCTGTCGTCCCTTTCTCCTCCTGCCTTCAAGCTTTCCCAGCATCAGGGTCTTTTCAAATGAGTCAGTTCTTTGCATCAGGTAGCCAGAGTATTGGAGCATCAGTCCTTCCAATGAATACTCAGGACTGACTTCCTTTAGAATGGACTGGTTGGATCTCCTTGCAGTCCAAGGAACTCTCAAGAATCTTATCCAACACCACAGTTCAAAATCATCAGTTCTTCAGCACTCAGCTTTCTTTATAGTCCATCTCTCACATCCATATATGACCACTGGAAAAATCATAGGTTTGACTAAATAAATCTTTGTTGGCAAAGTAATGTCTCTGCTTTTTAATATGCTGTCTAGGTTGGTCATAGATTTTCTTCCAAGGAGCAAGTGTCTTTTGATTTCTTGGCTGCAGTCACCATCTGCAGTGATTTTGGAGCCCCCCAAAATAAAGTCTGTCACTCTTTTCAGTGTTTCCCTATCTATTTGCCATGAAGTGATGGGACCTGACGCCATGATCTTAGTTTTCCGAATGTTGAGTTTTAAGCCAATTTTTTCACTCTCCTCTTTCACTTTCATCAAGAGGTTCTTTAGTTCTTCTTTGCTTTCTGCCATAAGTGTTGTGTCATCTGCATATCTGAGGTTATTGATATTTCTCCCAGAAATCTTGATTCCAGCTTGTGCTTCATCCAGCCCAGCATTTCTCATGGTATACTCTGCATTTAAGTTAAATAAGCAGAGTAACAATACACAGCCTTGATATACACCTTTCCGAATTTGGAACCAATCTCTTGTGCCATGTCCAGTTCTAACTGTTGCTTCTTGACCTGCATACAGATTTCTCAGGAGGAAGGTCAGGTGGTCTGATATTCCCATCTCTTTAAGAATTTCCCACAGTTTGTTGTGATCTACACAGTCAAAGGCTTTGGCATAGTCAATAAAGCAGAAGTAAATGTTTTTCTGGAATTCTCTTGCTTTTTCAATGATCTAACGGATGTTGGCAATTTGATCTCTGGTTCCTCTGCCTTTTCTAAATCCAGCTTGAACATCTGGAAATTCATGGGTCATGTACTGTTTAAGCCTGGCTTGGAGAATTTTGAGCATTA